TAAGCCATAATGAAGTGAACAATGGCTTAGGATGTTATGGGGTGTAATGATTAGAGAGTAAATCCAGAGAGAACTCCACCATGGAAGTTCACTGCATGATCTTGGAGGCTCATTAGCCCTCAGCCTTATCCATTTCACTAATGGTTGCTATAGGGAGAAAAATATACATTCACTGTCTTGAGCCCATGTAAGAAAGGCGCAGTATAACTCAAATGAATCGAGATATACTATGGATGTTTGTTATTCTGTGTGAATTCCCTTGGGTTTTGCATATGATATCTTGAACCAAGAACTTGAGATTGTGTAGAATTAAAATCACAGAAATGATCCATTCAGAAATATTTTTTTTACTCTGAGATCAGCACTGCTCTGCCTGGTAATCATTAGCTTGTTTGTATGAAGAAGGAAGTACCTCATTTCTTGAGATCAAAGGGTAGAGGTCCTGAATGTCTGCAGTTAGATCTAATTCAGTTCTGGGAAGTACAAAAGTAAAACTGAAGCGTCTAACAGATCCTGCTATTCCAGCAAAGACTAGATCCGTGAGGATACACTTGTGGAATGAAAAGAGAAAACTTTTAGTCAAAACTTAGAGAGCTCTTCAAGATGCCCATGTCATGGCTTTTAGGAGTAAGTATTGAGTGCTCCAAAAGATTGGAGGTTTATGCCAAGGAAGTTTTAAAAGTTTAAGTAGATCAAGGCAAACTCTATTTCTCTGTTGATGTTCCAGGTGATCTAGTAGGGAGCACACAGCAATGGGGGGCAGTGATGAAATCTATGATTGGCTTAGCTACATGCCAAAATGAAGTCTCTCTTTTTCTGTCTTGTTCTCCTAGCATGGGAGAGAAGGGGCAGAGAGCTCAGATACAGGGGGATTTTGAAATTAGGTGACTTTAGGATCAAAAGTTGCCCGGTCCCCTATACACATAACTGAACAAGGAACATTCTTTTTTGTCCCCTAAAATCATCAACGAACAATTCTTTCCTTCCTCTCGCCACTTCTCTTTCTTAATTTTGAAGTTACCAGCAAGAAGCTTGTCTGCACCGCAGAGAGTATTAACCTACAAAATTTAAGCTGGCTGATATTGGTTAAATAAGTACTGCCCCAACTAAATATTATAGCTGATTTTGAGTGTTGTGAAAAAGCCAAGAATGACGGCTTAACATTTATGGGTATGTATTTTTATCTACCCCAAAGAGTTGCGAATGAAATATTCTGCCTCAGGTGTCAAAATACCTTGGCCAAGTCCAGAAGCAGTACACACCTTTACTTGGCAGAGGCAGCTTCAAAATGTAACTCTCTCAGATTTAACCCTCTCTCCCAGCTTTGCCAAAGATCCCTAAAATTTATAAAATCTCTAAAAAATAGTGCTTTGCAAAGATGTTCGTTTTATATAAAAATTGATAGAACCTTCAAAAAGCATAGTATCGAGCCATGGCAGTTACTTAGCTCTGAACCAGGTTTAACTCCATGGCCATCTTCACCAGGGTGTCCATGGGGGAAGACCAAAAACTAAACATGGCACCCATGGCCAGACAGTCTAAACCATACTCCCTTTTAACATGTGATGCCCATAAACAAGAGGTAGGCCTTTGATCATGTAATTGTAGCTACCATCTTGATTGATTTGACCCCCAGGTAGGCGTTCCTGATCTTCGTACACTTTAATTGAACTATAGTTGAATTAACGTGGTTGCCTGAGTCTGCACAACACTTTGAACCACAAAACTAAGCAGCCTGGCTGGGTTTATACAGCTTCCTAAACAACAAACGACTTAACACATTTTAGATTAGTGTTGTACAAACCCAGTCTGTATGGAGACAAGCTTTTAAAACAGCCTTTCCCATATGTTCTGGCTGGAGTTTAGGAGAGTTGAAATTTAACACACTTAGAAGTCACATAGTTGGGAAACAGTGCTTTAATGCATCACAAATGAATCAAATTGGAAGATTTAATAAAATTAACTATACCTTACACATTATGACTTCCAAAGCACATATTGACTATTTTGCCTAGTATAACCGAGCAATCAAATTGATAATTTGTGTTATTTATGCTATCATGAAACCTGAGCAATTTTGGACACTGCAGGAAAAGCTGCAGAACTGAGCATGACAGGGTTTTCTTAAAAAAAAAAAATACTATTGAATATATTCAGACAAATATTGTTTCTAGTCGTTACAGATGGGAAAGCATATTTGAAAACTTTCAGAACAGTTTAGGGGTGTGGTCTCCACTCACTTTCTTCCTCTGTCAGTACTGTGACCTGATTCATACAAGGCTTAATCCTGCATTTGTTTAACTGCGAGATATTGAATGAAGCAGAGTTTTCTGGGACTGAATACTGAACTAAACCAAAAGAAAGTTTAGCACAATCTGTTCAGCCTTAGCCACTTTTTTCCTGCTTCTTCCATCCTCTCCCACAAGCCTTTCCCTCAAATCACTGTTTCTCCACCCATTTCATACTTCTTAACCCATTTTACCTCTAGGCATTTCCTCTTTCATTTTTCTTCTTCCCAGGAACACTTTTTGGCTAGGTTCATCCAACATGCTAGTCTAGGTTACATGAGGTTCAAGAGATTTCTGGTTCATGAAGTTGTGGGAACCCAGCTGTTGTCTTAATACATTGCATGAATCAAGCCATCATATTCAATCAGATTATAATGTACTTGCTGAGATGGGGCATATTACGTGAACACAGCAATTGTGTTTTGTTGACTAGGGTTGAGCATGTTCTGTGAATTCAGCCCTTAGGTGACCAGTAATCCACTGTGTTTGGCGTTCTATGCAAGATTTTAATTGCTGCCAAGCTGTCCACTTTCCCTTCCCTCCTAGAAATGGACAGCAACTCAACCAATCTGTTTTGGAAGCGTCACTGTCAAAAATACAATAGAATGTATAGATCCCTTTGAGAGGAAGCCAACAATGCTATCTGGAGAAGGGGTGTAAAGGAAAGTACTTTGATTACCCTCCAAGTTAACTCTCCAAAAGTCAAAGGGCTTCTTCTTGCAAAGATGTTTATAACATATATCCAGTGTCTCAGAAGGGTTATTAATTTTGCAATAATAGTTGCAAAACCTGGCTTCTCTTGAGGGTATCTCAAGAGACAGGGGGAAGGAAGGAATAAAAAAGGAGCCGACGAAGATATTTCTAAAAAACAAAACAAAACAAAAGCCATTTACAAATAGGAGAAAACTCAAGCACCATATGAGAGTCCAAAGCTGAAAGTGAAGGTCTGATGGGTGTGAATTTCCACAGTGAAGGGGGGGGGGGGAGTTGAGGGTGTAGCCAATGGTCTGGACCAAAAATGAAGAAGCAAGTCAGGCCATTTGGTTGAATGATGTGGCCATTTGGGGGTTGAACCTTCTCCCAGCATGTCAGAGGTTGCATTTGCCTGACGTGCTGATTCATGATGAGCCGAAGCATGGCTCATTCAATGTTCTGTTTTTGCAGGACGCACGGAATCAGTAAACACCATGGATTTGCACAATGTGCTAAGCTGGAAGAAGGACTTATTTCCCAGCAGGAGGGACTAACTAGAACAGGCAGATCTGGACAGCACCCCAGCAAAGTGGTCATCTCTTCATTCTAACAGGCCAGAGCTCATGCTTTTCTTGCACAAAACCTCACACCAGTTTCTCCACACTTATAAACCTTGGAAAGCTCTCCATGTGCAAAGTAGTGGCTGGATCAAACACTGCACTAAATTATAATTTACTGAAGAAGGCAGTGTGGCCTGCTAATCATTAACCACAGCGGCTGATTTCACACATTGCAGTAAGCCATAACGTGGCTGGTCTTGGTGCTTTGCAAGCCATCCATTTAAGGTTTGGTGCAGCATTTTCCCACTTTATGCCCTCCAGATCTGCTGAAGTTTAATATAACTAGAAGGCATCTGGTTAGGGAAGGCTGGTTTAATTCAACATGTAAACCCAGCAGTTCTGGCTTATTCAACAAACTAGGGTTAAGAGTTCAACAGGCAAACTTCTAAACCACTTGCCTATCACCACTTCTCCATACCCTGGAGCGCTGTTCAGATTTACTTTCAGGCTGTGTTCACTCAGCACACTTATTGATGGACATCCTAACATGGTTTACAGAATGAACCCAAATTTCAGGGTTCACACAGCACCACCCGCTCATTGTATAGGATGAATTCCCACAAAACGCTCCGCTAAAATACGGTTGACTCCTTCGTGGTTCATTCCCTGTGTTGTCTTAACACCACAAACTGGGTCAATCCAACAAGCCATGATAAAAAAGCATGCTGAGAACCAAGCCAATTATGGCTTATTCAGTAACCCACCCTTAAGCAATCCATGGCTCCCTATGTGGTCCAAATCCAGGCAAGAAAAAAAATGCCCCAAGCAAAATGTTGGCCCCTTCGCCTGCTGAATATCTGCAGATCGAGAGAAGGCTTGAAGGCAAACCAGGACCCAGCGAGGGGGCTGAGCTCAGCCCGGCTTCCCGCGGCTCACCGTCCCAGAGCCCGGCCGCCTCCGCCTCTCGAGCGCCCCCTGCCGCCGTGCCTCAGTCTTCATCCGCCACCCACGTGTACCGCATCTCATTTTACAACCTCGCTATTTACCCGACCGTGTTAATTCCGACGGCCAATCAGCGGGCAGGAGGTGTAGCTCCGGGAGATTAAGCTCCAATCAGCACCTGCATCCAAAGTCGGGAGGAGATGCTCCCCCCGCGCTCTCCCCCCCCTTTTTCCTTCTCCTCCCTTCCCCTCCCCTTTCCTCCCTTTCTGTAAAGCACGTTGAGTTTGTCTGTAGCGCTAATTATTTTTTTCCGAAGTCTGGGAGGGCTTCGCGGCCAGTCGGGTCCGAGTTGCTGCTGCGCCGCCGCC